CAGGGGCGGGGCGGGGGCCCCCCGCAGCTGCCACTTGGAGGGCATGGCTGGTGGTGGCGCCGCTAGGATTGGGGGACGGCGGATACGCGGCCCTGTGGGAGGGGCGCCATCTAGGAGCAGCTGCGAGCGGCAGAGGCAGAGAAGCCCGGTTACTGTTGTGGCTGTCCCCAGAGCCCCCACGGTGACCAGAACTGTGTCCTGGAGAACTGTCCAACAGAACTCTGCTGAGACCCGTCCCTGTCCAGGAGCGCAGACACTGGCCAGCAGGCCCAAGGTGTAGCTAGTGCCCACACTTGAGTTTTAAATTCGATTTAATTCCCCTTAAAGCCCAAAGGTTTCAGATGGCTGTGGCTTTTCTACCATATGGAACAGCCCGCGGACCACCCTCAACTAGTTGCGAGTGGAGCCCGGGGATGAAAATGTGCTCAAAGTTGTGTTTGGTTTGGACAGAAAGTTTGTTAGGGGCAGGATGGGGCAAGAGTGTAAAAGTCAGGAAATCACACACACAAATTCAACTTCCAGGACACGGAAAGCATTTCTCTCGGTGCCGCAACAAGCAGTGGGAGCTGAAAAGCCCACCCCAGGGAGCTCCAGCAGCACCTTGCAGGAGGCTGAGGCTCAAGGCACCTAGAACTGCCCCGGGCCACTGAGCCCTTCGCCGGCTGCTCTGCACTGGATGTGCTCCACGGCACATCGCCAGCAGACTCCGAAGACCCGCTACAGAAAAAGTGGGGGCTGGCTCAGGGCGAGTTCTTACCCCCAGTGAGCCTGAAAGGGTAAGGCCTGGACAGATGCTGAGTTATGAGTCATGTTATTAAAATCACTACTTCTTTGCACTTTTTAAACATGGCTATCAGAAAACTAAAAATGGAACAAGCAGATTGCATAAGGGTTTCGTCGCTGGACTCCCACATAGCCGACCACCACTCGAGTCCCAGACCTGGCAGCTTGAAACTCACACCCGACACGTGTGCGTGCATGCCCAAAATCCCAAGAGGAGAATGAAGAAGGGATTGCAATATGGCCATCCCCCGTGGGTGGTAATTTCCTGCTTTTTGTCTATCTGTCTTTGCAGTGAACGTACACAGCCTATAGAAAAAATCACTCTGAAAAAGAAAAAAGGGACATTAAAACCTTCAGCCAGGCAAGGGCATGGTGACTGAATCGTAGCTCCCAGACCAAGCTCTCTGGGTCCCCGCTACAACAAGGAGTTCTCAAGGCCTCCTGGGGGCGACAAAGACCATGATCCGGAAGGTCTCCACCCACCTGGGCACCTGAACGGGCAGGTAGGGAGAACCTGTTCCCTCCAGCTACAAACACTGAAATGAAACCACACAGGCCTACAACGCCAAGGAATCTTACATAGCCCTAGGCTAGGATTTCAAATAAGGGCCTTCCGTTTCTCAAACTCAGCCTTTTGCAGATGAGGAATCAGGCCCAGAGCGGCTGTGAAACGCTGGTGGTGGTCATACCCCAGTGGGTGGCAGGACCTCATCAGAACCCGAAGTTCAGGGCCTCTGCAGAGAAAGGACGCCACAGACACAGAGAAGGGTGGGAGAGTGATGAAGCTGAGATTGAGAATGGCAAAGAGCTTCCTTAGTAGAGTCCCCTGCAGAAGAACAGGGCCCCAGACGTGGGTGTCTAACCTTCAAGGGAGTGGTCCGAGATGGACTGGCCACAGGCCAAGGTGGGTGCTGTGAGGACAGGCAAGGACGACCGGAAGGCAGCTTTGGTTCCTTCCCCCAGCACCCGGTGAGCCCCTGCAGGGCCGGCCCTCTGCTGGGGCTTCATGGCGAATCCGGTTTCCAGGAGGCAGTTCGGAGATGAGGTCCTGTCTGCTCCTGTGGCCGGGCCTCGCTCTGTTGCTAATGACAGGCTAGCCGGGTCTGGGTGGTTTCGGAGAAGTGCGGCTTACTCTGCTCGCGCTCGCGCTCACGGTGGCTCCGGGCCGGCTATGTGACAGTGCAGGGCCTGGAGCGCAGGCACCCATGTGTGTCCGTGCCTGTGCGTCCCTTCCCTGTCCTCGTCCCCACCAGGAGTCAGTCCTGGGCCCGCCTCAGTGACCCTAGCCCCAGTCTCTGACAGCCCCTCTCAGCACCACAGTCGGGTTACGCTTTCACCCTGTTAATCCTGTCACCACCAAATCTCAGTCCGTAGCGGACCTCAGAGCTCCACAGGCAGAGCCGAGAGACTCCGGGACCTCCCTCCTCACGTGGCGATTCTGCTTCCTCACCGGCCACGTGAGGGTTGCCATCTGTGCTTCCATGCTCCGCTTCATTTTCTATGTGCTCAGACGCCAGTTTACGTAGGTCGTAAGGTCACCGATCAGTGAGCGGTCGCGGGCACAGCGCACACAGCCACGGAAGCACACCCACGTGGGGCCGGGGACGTGCCCAGCTCCCCTGAGGTGCCACTGCTCCGACTGCCGCTCCCCGTGCTGCCTCGGCTGTAAGCTGTCCTTCTGCGTTCCAGTCCCGCCCAGAGCGCCCCAGAGCCCTCTCAGAGCCCTCTCGGGTACCAGCTGCTCCTCGTGCTCGCTGTGTGGTGTGGTGCGACTGTCCCAGTTCGTTTCTTCTCCTGTAGATAGACGTCCATTTGAGTTTCGATCTACTTGTGGATAAAACCGTTGGGGATATTCGCATACATGTCATCTGCGGGGTCTAAGCACTCATCCATCCTGGGCTCGGCAGTGCTGGATCCGGGGTTCACGGCGGCTCTGCTGGGAAAGGGACGAGCAGGCCTTTTGTCGGTTTTGTTTACTTGTTTTAGATTTATTTGTTTTGGGTTTCGTTTTGTTTTGCCGTAGGACTCGCTGGAGAGACAGAGAAAGAAAGTGGGAAAGTGAGAAATTACCCCCGTGGGGATGGCTATGCCTCAGCCCCTTCTCTTCCCTTCTCTTGGGATTTTGGGCATACACACATGTGCGCCAGGTTCAGGACCTGAACATGGAGTTGGCCACGTGGGATCCAGCCCCTCAGCCACCATGCCACCTGGTGGCCGGGAGTAGTGGTCTTTAAGTGACTACCAGCTGGCATTCCCGTCGCGGTGAGCAGCACCCACACCCTCCCCAACCCCACCCATCAACATCAGAAGCCCTTGGAACCTCAGCCCTCCAGCCTGCAGCTCCAGAGGCTAGAGGTGAAGGGGCAGGTCCTGCAGGGCTTGGAGACCAGGCCTGTCAGGACGGAGAAGTGGAGCAGGGATTGCGGTGTGGCCACGCCTCACTGGGGGGCTCCCTCCCTCCCTCCCTCCCTGTCTCTGCTGAGTGTACATGCCCTCTGGCAATCCGGTGGGCAAAGGGCATCTCATGCGCAGAGCCCTGGGAAAGTTCTGCCCGGCCCGCCTCTTCTCCCTCATGCTGGTGCTCTTTCTGTTGCGTTTTGTTTTATGAAATATTTATTTGGGGCCAGCAGGTGGTATGGTGATTATGGCACTGGGCTCCCACATAGCCAACTGTAGTTCAAATCCTGGACTCAGCAGCTCGAAATTCATGCCAGGTCTGTGTGCATGTGTGCCCAGAATCCCAAAAGGAGAATGGAGGAGAGGGGATTGTGGCGTGGCCATTCCCTGGGGGGTGATTTCTTGCTTCTCTCTCTCTCTCTGCCTCTCAGGCAAGTACACATGTCCCATAGCAAAACTCTCTCTTTAAAAAATTGTTTAATTAAATTTATTTATGTTTATTATTTTTTAAAGGTTGACCAGAGAGAGAGAATAAAAGTGAGAAAGCAAGCCTCCGGGCCAGGGTTCGAACTACACCCAGCCATGTGGGAGTCCAGCACCTTCACCACACCACCACCAGTGGGCCTCTCCTGGCTTTAATTTGCTTCTCTCTAATACCAAATCGTGTTCAATCATTTTTGCCTGCACCTACTGGCCATTTTAATGTCTCCTTTCGTGCATCTACTGAAATATTTTGGCCATTCTTCACAGAGCAGGTGTGCACGGGTGAGGAGGGGAAGGCAGCCACGGGCCTGCGGCTCCGTGGCCCCTCCTCTTGGCCGAGGGTGAGCGAGCCTGGCTCCAGGGCGGGGGTCTGCAGCCCTCCTCCCCGGAGCCTACATCGCTCAGGTTTCTTTGGGCCAAGTGTCATCGTCACATGAGATCAAAGGTCCGTCCTAGCGACAGGCTCTGTCCCTGTCCCTCCAACACTGGCTGCAGCCATGCGCTCAGGCTCGTCCACCTGACACTGCTCTCCCGGCCTTTGCAGTGCCCTGGGGAAGCCCCCGCGTGGCCCACGCTGGCGCAGTGCAGTGGGCCCCTTCGCCGCCAAGGCCAAGCACTGCGCAGAGCCCTGGGAACGCTCTGCCGTCCGCCTCTTCTCCCCCGGCTGTGCAATGCGTTTACTTTTTTTAAACTTTTCCAAGGTTTTCGATCTTTTTACCCCTGTGTTCACGATAGCGCGTGTGTGTGCATCAGAAGGCAGAGAAAAGAGTGCCCTGCGCCATCTGACCACACAGCCACCTCCTCCCTCCGGCGTCCCGGATGGGTGGACCTTGGCCCCTCACACATGTGCCTGGAGTGTGTCAGCCAGCTGGGCTGGGACTTGAACCTCGACCGCCACGTGGGACCCAGCTGTGAGCACGGCAGCACCCAGGCTGCTCAGGCCCCCTGTGGCCCGCAGAGCCACCAGCCCCCGTTCATTGCAGTTTCTTTCTGAAGGAGGCAGACAGTACCCTCAGCAGAGCCTTGGCGCTGGGGCCCACCCAGCTCCAGCACCCCCCTCACGTGTGCCTGACCGGCTCAGGGAGGGCTCCGGTGCAAACCTGGCGCCTTTCCACGCGTGAGGGGTGTGCCGCCGTGTTTGGCTGCCGAGCGGCCATCTGGTCCTTGGTATTTATTCATTTTATTGCGCTACAGGGACGTGCATTCACTGGAGAGAGACAGAGGAGCGAGAGATCACCGCCCTGGGTGATGGCCACGCCAGTCTCCACCCCTCCACTCTCCTCTCAGGATTTTGGCCACGCACGCCCACGCACCTGGCACTTTTTTAAGCCACCGTGTCCAGGACTCGAACTGCAGTCAGACATGTAGGAGCCCAGAGCCCTTCGCTCCTTGCCACCTAGTGGCCTGTTCGTGTATCACGTCTTCCTCTGGGCAGAGCCCCCAGATTTGTTCTATACCTCACTATAATTGGTCCGGCTTCGTTTTCTTTCCAGATCGTCCCAGTGGCAGCCAGACACCCTTCGGGCAGCTCCCACGCCCTTCCCCAGTCCTCTCCCCACAGACCCTGGGCTGGCTGTGCGCGCCTACCGCATCCCCGAGAGCAGAAACAGGAACACAGCGCCCGGCGCCGCCTGCGGTGCTGCCCCCTGCCACTGCTTGCAGGCCTTTCCGCCGATGGGGCAAGCGTCCATGAGGTGAGGGCTGTGCACACAGCAACGGGCACGTCTCTGTTTATTCTATTTTTTTTTTTTTCAAAAAACTTTTAAATTTTTGTGGGAGGCTGTGCACCAGCAGTCTGCCGAGGTTTCTCAGAGAGCAAACAATTGCCATGATTGGTTCCCTTCCAAAAACCTGACCTTCGAAACCTTGCTCTGATTGGCCACTAGAATCCCTCAAATTTGCATATCCGGCACCTCATGATTGGTCCAAAAGCAACCAATCATAACCCACCGTTAACAACCAATCAGGGCCCACCGTTTACAACCAATCACGGTCCACCGTTTACAACCAATC